TTTCGTCGTGGGGGCAATGACGGCGACAGCGGCGGGGTGCGTTCGTACGCCTGGCATATTGCCAGGGATCTGAAGCAGATCAAGCATGAATCAATCGTGTGTGGGATGGGGAAAGGGTGAGTTTCAGGGTTCCGGTTCTGGCAGCAGGTGACCTGGCACACCTCTCCGTAAGCCCGAACCTGACCGAAATGCATGGCAAGAAGGAGTCCGCGAGCCTGCCAAGTCGAAGCGGCTCACCGACCTGCTTATGCTGCCGGGGCCGTTGAAGCCGCAGAGCGTGGAGAGGCACGTCGCTGCCGGATTGCGCATTTGGCCAGCTATTGGGTCCCTGCTCGGAACTGGTCAGCACAAGATCGCCTGGCAGGAGTTGCCGTTCTTGGGGTACGCCGGAGATCTCCTGCTGAGCCTGCTACCACGAACGGCTTATCCGAAGTCTTCCAGCATAGGCGTTCTGCAGACGTGCGAACTGAGTGCGCGAAGGCGCACCTGCGTGACTTCGATTGACGAGTTTGTGTGTGTGATTCCATTTTCCAACATTGACCGTGCTGCTTCGCATTGGCAAGTGAGCACAATGCGCACTTGCATCCAGACGCAGCCGTTGAGGATCAGAATTCATTTTTGGAAAGCCCATGCGCTGGGCTGTTAGTCCCAGCAGCTGCAATTGCTTTCAGTCCGCACGGATCTTGTCAGCCGACCATACCCGGATTCTACTGATCGAGCCTTACCTGGCACCTGGCTCCGGAGTTTCCACGAGGCTTTACTGGGTACGGTTTGCCGGCAGACAGAGCGCATTGGCAAGACCATCGCTCTGCAATTCAGGTGCCATGGGACCAATGCAGGTCGCGTCAAGGGCTTCTTGACAGTCCCAACAATAATGGGATACACGCCTTGGATTGGTCCCATCGATTTGAAAGGATCGAGGCCCACAACTAGCTGGGATTTAAGATCCAGAAAGCGCTGTGAATGGCCAAGTTTTTTCCCAAACAGCCCGCCTGGGGCCATGATGAATTTGCCGTAGCATGCTCAAACGAAGCTCTTGTGTAATCCACCAAGTTGGTCTGTTCTCTGCAGGTCATCTGGTGGAGCACACGATTGCTACATTGCTACACCGTACCGGGAAAGGGAGTTGGTGTTTCCCATGCGGCATGCACATAGCTTTTGCTGCGGCGGCGACTCCCCAAGCATCTTTCTTGGCATAGCTGCGTGGCGCCTGCACGGGGTATCCGACCCAGTGCAGGACCAGCGGATTGGCATGGCATAGTAGACGACGAAACGTGCGTCCTGCATGCTTCAGGCTTGCCGGCGGGCATGACCGCAGGACATCAGTTCTTGCTCTCTGCCCAGATGTTCCTCACCATCATCCTGGGCGGGATGACCCTGACTCTCTGCGAATCGTTCATCCTGTACGTCGCAGTGCAGGCGGAGCTGGAGGTTCAGGGAGCAAAGGGAAATGGTGCAGACTCCTTGATCCGGTTTCGTCAGCTTCGTCTCTTCTTGACATGTTTTGCCTCAAGGAATTGCAGCCGTCGTCTAGCAGCGGTTTCCGCATTCTGGCATACTGCCATTGACCCGGGAAACTGGGTCCCGGTTCCGTCCCCCCCCTGAAGCCGAAATTCCGAAGCTTTT